CGATCAGAAGTAAATAACCAAAATAAAGCGTTGACAAACGCGCGTGCAAGATACAATTTGTCTTAGGATGTTGCTTTAGAAAATTTACTACTGCTGAGGCCAGCACGTGCGGCGCGTGGAACACATATCCCTGCATTCTCCTTGATGCTTGGGTAATATAGCAAAAGGTCTATTGGCCACATACTGATGTGTCATATTGCTTTCTATGCCGATTAGTGCAAAAATATTCCAAAAGCCGGGAATCATAATGATCAAAAAAACTGCTCCGACTTTACTCAACAAGATTAACAATTTAATCAAACGTTTCGTCTCCCATGCAGGAAACATCGTCAGTGAAACCTACAAGCAGGAATGAGGGAAAAAGCTTCAACAGTCCTATTTAAGCAAGTCCGCGTACACATCGGGGAGGGGGCCGCGGTTGGAATCGCAAGCTGATGAGTCACTTAGGATGAACCATGATTCCACGAACCTGCTGGACCCCACCTTTGTTCGCGCGCCAGAGTGGACGCATTCTCAAAGTCGAAACAGTGACCCGTATTCCAACGATGGTCTACGAGTTCCGTCTTCGCTCTTGTCGCATGCGTGGCCTTCGCCACGTCCCTTTTGTGTTCGTTTAAGCGAGTCCAGCGCTTCCGGCCTGTCTCCCCAATGTAGGATGCGTCACAGTCTAGACAATTCACTTTATACACAACGCCGCACTGGGACTCTGGGGGGGTGTAATCTTTAGGTTTAGAAATGAGGTCAGGTAGTTTACGATGGGGTTTGAAAGCAGTGCGGATATTCAAAGGGGCGAGGGCCCTGCGAGTAGACTCAGAAACACCTCTCAAATAGGGTATTGTTACTTGCCCTGTCCTAAATCGTCCATTATCCTGACTTCTTCTTTGCCCCATCTGTTTGCGCGTGTTATCAATAAAACGCTTCGGATAATTCCGCTTCATCAACAGGTCAACAATCTTCAGAAGCGCGCAATCGAGGATTAGAAGAAATGCGTTCGGACCGATGTAGTAAGATTTTTACGACTGCCCTTTTATGTTCGACAGAATGGTGCGAGTCAAAGTTTAAGAGGTTGCCTGTATCGCAAGCTTTGCGGTACACTGTTGTATCTAAGCGACCGTTACTATTTCGGAACACATTAACATCCAGAAAAGGCAGCGCACCGTTCGGTTCAACTTCATGTGTGAATTGGATTAATGATTCAACGTTGTTTAAAGCTAAATGAAAGTCAGCAACATCATCCTTGTTTAAAATTACAAAAGTGTCGTCCACATAACGTTTGTAAAATCCTATCGGGAGCATACTCTTTTCAAGGACAGTTTCCTCCACATACTCCATAACCAGATTTGCCGTTGTAACAGAAATTGGGCTACCCATTGGACATCCTTCAATTTGGTGATAAATTTGTCCGCGAAACGTAAAATGCGATTGCTTAAGACAAAAACGCAGCTAAATTACAATATCATCCACCGTTAACGATGTGCGTGATGGGAGGCTGTCATCCCTACGTAGGCGTGTTTCGGCTATCTCAACAGCCCGAGAGGTGGGGACATTCGTGAACAAGGACACAACATCAAACGAAACCGTTATGTCGTCTTCGTCTAGGACGTGATCCCGAACCAGGCCCACGAATTCTCGGGAATTCCGTACTGTTAAACCATTTTTACCTGTGACCGGAGTGATGAGTTCGACCAGATATTTTGACAGATTGTACGTCAGAGATCCAATAAATGAAACTGTTGTGTCATCATGTCCGAATCGAATGTCATGTGTCGGTTAACTGTGACGTCACTCTTTAACGTATAGATAGCGCGGCTGCTATCAGTATAAAAGCAGCCATGAGTGTGCCTACGGGTTTGTTGTATTCTTGGCATCATCGAATAAACATGCAAGCTGCAGAAACTGATTACTTCCATAGAGGCTAAAACAGTGGCGACGAGGATGGGATGGCCGAGAAGACAGAATCCAGCACTGTCATCGGCAAAAACCCAAGCGCCTTGACCGAGGACCACGGGATGGCTTCGTGCGGCGGCCGGTTCGAGCAGTTCATCGAAGATGGGGAGGAAGACTTCGAGTCGTACGTCGAGCGGATGGAACACTATCTTCGAGCAACGAAGGTGAGCGACGACTTGAAAGTCTCGGTCTTCGTAACGGCCATAGGGAAGCAAGCGTACCGCACGTTGAAGACGCTGTTAACACCAGTGAAGCCAGAACAAAAGGACTATGCGCATCTGGTCGCGGTCCTCAGGGAGCATTACGCTCCGAAGCCGATGGTAATCGCCGAGCGATTCAGATTCAACCGGAGGGCCCAGCTCGAGAAGGAAACGGTGGCGACATACACGGTTGAGTTAAAAAGGCTCGCGGCCACCTGCGAGTTCGGGCAGTTCCTGGATGAAGCACTCCGGGACCGTTTTGTCGCGGGGCTAAAGGACCAGGCAGCCCAAGCAGAGCTAAAAAAGAAAACTCCAACTTTTTCGGCGGCATGCGACATTGCCAGAAGCATTGAACTCGCACGAGCAGAGACCAAGATATTTCAGCCAGCAGCCTCTGAACAACTAGAGGTGAACGCCGTCCAACGTCTAGGCCCAGACAGGAACATCGGAGCGGCTACCAGGAAGGCGACGATGGAAGTCAACACTGAGAGGCCCGAGGCGTCAGGCTGTTTCCGCTGCGGAGCACCCCATCACGAGTCAAGTTGCCCGTTTCGGAAGTACAAGTGCCGAGAGTGTAGACGAGTGGGACACTTGGCAAGGGCCTGCAAAGCAACGTCCCGTTTGGTGCAAGCCGTGGAAGACAGTAGTGGTAAGGACAAAGTTTGGCTGTACAACATTGGCTCCTGCAGTGCTAGAAAAGGGGGTTACACTACTGATGTTCGAGTGGCGGGAACAATGGTGACAATGCAAGTTGATACAGGAGCCTCGGTTTCCATTGTGCCTGAAGAGGTGTATAAGCAGTACTGGCCTGGATTGTCTCTCTCAAACTGCCGCCTAAAGTTGAAAACTTATGGGGGCGTGCCTTTGGAGGTATTAGGCAAGTTGATTGTACCTGTGGAGCACAATGGGCAGACCATGACGTTGTCGCTTGTAGTGGTTCGCACGCCGCAGAAATGTGAGACTGTGTTAATGGGCCGCGATTGGCTAGAAGCGTTGAGGCTAGACTGGATGAGCGTGTATGGGGTTAGTCTAGACCAAGTGGCAGGGCTGGTTGACCGATTCTCGCAGGTGTTTGAGCCTGAGCTGGGATTAATCGCGGGCAGTCAAGTTAAATTAGTATTGAAGGACGACACGACCCCAGTCTTTTGTAAACATAGAACTGTACCATTCGCTTTAAGAGAGTCAGTAGAACAAGAGTTGCATGCGCTCGTGAAAACGGGAGTCCTGGTCCCTGTTCAGCAGAGTGAGTGGGCAACACCGTTGGTCGTTGTCCCTAAGCCGAACAACAAAGTGAGGTTGTGCGGCGACTATAAAGTGACGCTGAACCCGAATCTCAGAACAGACCACTATCCCTTGCCGGTAATGGAAGACGTGTTTGCAACGCTACACGGGTGCAAATATTTCACGGTACTTGATCTTTCTACAGCGTACCAGCAGCTGCAACTGCACCCGGATTCGCAGTCTCTTGTAACTGTAAACACGCATATGGGCTTGTTTAAGTATACACGCCTTCCATACGGCATCACGAGTGCACCGTCTATTTTTCAGGCTGTAATGGACGGAATATTGAAGGGCCTTGACAGAGTATCGTGCTATCTTGACGATGTGTTGATAGCCGGAGAAACTTCGGAAGAATGTTATCGAAAAGTGGAAAGCGTGCTGACAAGGTTCAAGGAGCGCGGTATCAAAGTAAAAAAAGAAAAATGCAAGTTTCTTCAGACGTCGGTGGCTTACTTGGGCCACGTAATTGATAAACATGGAATTCGGCCTTCCGAAGAAAACCTACGCGCAATCAAAGAGGCGCCAAAACCCCAGAACAAACAAGAGCTGCGAGCGTATCTGGGGCTGCTGAATTTCTACAGGAAATTTGTTCCGAACATGTCAGCAGAGCTGAAGCCACTTCACCAGTTACTAAGTGACAGCACCAGTTGGGATTGGACCGTAGTGGAGGAAAAAGTGTTTCAAGAAACAAAACGGTGGCTGACGCACGAACGAGTGTTGACTTACTACGATCCTGAAAAGGACCTTGGTCTTGTATGTGACGCGTCGGCATACGGCGTCGGCGCGATACTCTTTCATAAAGTTGGTACTGAGGAGAGGCCCATCGCTTTCGCGTCTAGGACGCTCTGCAAGGCGGAGCAAGGCTACGCGCACATTGAAAAAGAGGCGCTTGCAGTGGTTTTTGGTTTAAAAAAATTTCACAAGTTCCTCTTCGGCCGAAAATTTTGCATCTACTCTGACCATCAACCACTGGTGGGAATTCTGGGGCATGGTAAGCCGATTCCTGCAATGTCAGCAGCACGCGTGCAGCGCTGGGCCTTACTGCTTGCCGCTTATAACTATGTTTGGGTGTATCGAAAATCCACTGATATAGGAAATGCCGACGCGCTTTCACGGCTACCACTGCCAAACAAAGATGAGTCAGAGTGCGTGCAGTTCTTTTCGGTGCTAGACGAAGCTCCGCTATCTGCAAAAGAGATAAGACGGGAAACGCGAAGGGATCAGTTGTTGTCGAAAGTGCTGTTCTACACACAAAACGGCTGGCCTTCGAAAGTTACAGACGATTTGCTAGCGCCTTACTATGTTCGACGTAACGAACTGTCAGTCGATCAAGATTGTGTAACTTGGGGTAATCGCGTAGTGGTTCCGTTGTCACTCAGAAGTAGCGTCTTGACGATGCTGCACGAAGGTCATCCGGGGATGACGCGAATGAAAATGTTGTCCAGGTGCCACGTTTGGTGGCCTCGTCTAACACAAGATGTAGAGCAAACAGTGCAACAGTGCGTCACGTGTCAGCTGTCGCAAAACGCTGCACCCATGGTATCCTTGTTGTCGTGGGGTTGGCCTACGCGTAGATGGGAGAGAGTGCATATAGACTATGCGTATCGCGATCAGCAATGGTTTCTTGTGCTGGTGGACGCCCATTCTAAATGGATTGAAGTGTTTGTGATGAACAGTACTAGTAGTGAGAAGACCGTGGAAAAACTGCGCAGTGTGTTTGCGGCGTACGGGCTACCGGAAGAGGTAGTGACCGATAATGGGCCTCAATTCACATCAGCAGATTTCGAAGTCTTTTTGAGTAGGAATGGCGTCCTACACAGCAAGTCTCCGCCCTACCATCCCGCCTCCAATGGCAGCGCGGAACGCTGCGTACAAACCGTGAAAAAGGCTTTGTTTAAACGAGTGCTGGACGAGCAGAGAAGCGGCCATGCGAAGTCTCTGCAACATCGCGTCGATCAGTTCCTATTTAGTTACAGGAACACACCCACCGGGACAACCGATGAAACTCCGGCCCAGCTGTTCCTGTCCTGGAGGCCCAGAACAAGACTGAGTCTGCTGCACCCCGACATAGAGCAACGAATGAAAAAGAGACTCGAGCGAACCAAAGAATACGCAGACCAGCACCGGGGACCCTGGAGAGAGTTCTCTGAGGGTGACCAAGTTATGATAAAAGGCTTACGGGCCGGAGATTCCAAATGGCTGACGGGCACAGTAAGCAAGCGTGTGAGCCCAGCTACGTATCTGGTTTGGGTTGGGGGGGAAGAGCGGTACACTCATGCTGACAACCTGCGGCCAAGATCATTTCAGGCTGACCTGAGGACACCTAACCGACTGGAGCAGTTTTCGGACATTGAGACCGATACGGCTACAACTGACAATGAATCACCTGACGACCATGACCCGGCACAAGCAGAGAACGGAGCCGCGACACCACGGGCACCTGACCCAGGCCGCAGCATGCCCAGTGCTGTGACTGTTGGTCCCAATGCCCCACCATCGGACAACCGGGCCTCCAGACTGGAAGCTCCGCCGGCTTCTCCACTCTTGCCTCGGCGCAGCACACGGCCAAGCCGACCCCCAGAGCGCTACAAGCCGTAGACTCCAAAAACTTTCTAAAGGGGAAGGAATGTTGTGTCATCATGTCCGAATCGAATGTCATGTGTCGGTTAACTGTGACGTCACTCTTTAACCTATAGATAGCGCGGCTGCTATCAGTATAAAAGCAGCCATGAGTGTGCCTACGGGTTTGTTGTATTCTTGGCATCATCGAATAAACATGCAAGCGGCAGAAACTGAGTACTTCCCTAGAGGCTAAAACAGAAACAATAGGACGCAACGGGCACTCGGGCTTGTGAGTTTTGGGGACACCGTACAATTTAGGTGTAGACCCGTCAGAAGAAAAAAGACGACGGTACATGGCATCGTCTAGGCGTTTCTTCTTTTTTTTTAGATCGCGGAGGTGATCAACAAGGGATCTCTCAGATTTAGGAGTGGGGTCCCGGGGTAACGTCACAAAATGCGCTGTGTCGTCAAGAATTACCTGCATTTTTTCATAGTAACTTTCTTTATCGAGGATAACAGTGCCTTTCCCCTTGTCAGCTGTAAGAATAATAATTGATTGATCCGATTTAAGGTCCCGTAGTGCCGACTGCTCCACCTTGCTCAGATTCGATGGCGTTACTTTAGCATTATTAAGCATAGTCGATATGCGGCTGCGGGCCAGATTGATCCCGGTCGTATCTTGTAGGTGACGAAGTGCCTCCTCAATTTCAATTATAAAGTCTCTTTTGGGAACTACACGTGGGGCTAGAGCGAAATCAAGTCCTTTCGAAAGAAGACTTACATGACCAGCGGAGAGCTCTTTCGATGACAAGTTGTAGACCGCTGATGCCGGTGGTGTGGGGACCTTTGGAATTAGTTGGGACAGTTTCTTGTCATGGGTATCCGTGCATTTGACCCTTTCCCTTTCTTCTGCTTGCTTCCGTGCACCGAACACGTGGTGCATGTCGTCAGGTTGGAGAGTCCGTCGTAGGAACTTCTCAGCTGCAACAAGCCGGTGCCGACAGTCGATGAGTTTCTGCTTGTTGTCCAGCATCCGTGCCTTGAGGCAGTCACGGCTGAAGTTCTGGGCCAGTTCTCTTCCGTAGGGTGTGTCGACCCGGGGGCGACATCGTAGACCATGTGGAATCACGTTGTGGTTCAGGCACTCACGGTTGAAGCGTCGATGGCATTCCAGGCGGACGATCTTTGTGGACTGGTTGAAGTATTCTCCCAAGTTGCCCAAGGCAGCAGAGCCGTACAAGGTGCGAATGAAAGCAAAAATATTCCAAAAGCCGGGAATCATAATGATCAAAAGAAAAACAAAAAACGGGTCACTGTTTCGACTTTGAGAATGCGTGCACTCTGGCGCGCGAACAAAGGTGGGTCCACGCAGGTTCGTGGAATCATGGTTCATCCGAAGTGACTCATCAGCTTGCAATTCCAACCGCGGCCCCCTCCCCGATGTGTACGCGGACTTGCTTAAATAGGACTGTTGAAGCTTTTTCCCTCATTCCTGCTTGTAGGTTTTACTGACGATGTTTCCTGCATGGGAGACGAAACGTTTGATTAAATTGTTAATCTTGTTGAGTAAAGTCGGAGCAGTTTTTTTGAACATGCCGATTAGTTAAGAAAAAAAAAAGTATTTTCATGGATCCTTTCAAAATTGCTACCTTTCCCGTGGTCAGGAAAGAGAATGGTAAAGAAGACAACTTCTGCATGGATCACTAACAAAATGAATTAGTACAGGTATTTGGGAGCATAGATCAATGAGAGCAGTGAATGAATTGCAGAGCATGAGAAAAGTACAATTAAGGTCATTTGGGAGCCAATGATAAAGGGTAGAGCACTCGAGTTTTGGCAGGTGTGTAGGGGTCGGGGCGTCATGGTGCCACAACTGCCTTGGTAGTGCAGTGCATCCTTTGAAGGGAAGCAACCAGCAAAATAGCATTGAGTAGGGGGTGCAGTGGAAGACCGTTGGCCAACACCGGGAAATAGGAACATGATGTCAGTTAAAAATACAGCAAAAAAGTTGAGAGGAAACTAGAACTTCAGAACGGCAAGAAGGAGGTATAGGACACGAAAATATATAATTTTTTTAATTATATTGACTTTGCTATTCACAGAGGGCACAACATCTAACAAAACCTTCAAAGCTTCTTTCAGATGAGCACCCAAAAGTGATACTATCTGTGTTTGCATCAACCAGATGGTTTAGTGTTTTTGTTTCCTCCCTATCCATAAAATGTTTTTTTTAAGCTTGCATATTTTTTTTTTAGATTTTACACTTTAGAAATTTGAGTGATAAATGCACCACCTAAAGACACCTTTGTGGAAAGTTTAATTGCCTTTCGTTCACTGGCTTTATTATATTCATTCGTTTACGCCCAAATAGCGCTTGCGGAACGTTGCGCTAGATGACATAGGTTTCTGCTTAATTTCAAATATGCTTAAAGGAGGAGATTTGGGCCTGGGGAGGAGTTTGTTTAAGAATACTTAAACACCATCGCACTTTGCTGTGCGCAACAGTGAGAGAGAGTATTAAAGAGGGGAAGATGTGGGAATCTCTCACCTGCCACGTGAGACTCAACAGCGACAGCTTGTTATCTTGCCGCTCGGTTTCCAATTGGGAAAGAGGAGGGTACTTCGAACACCCAAGCTCTGCCGTAATCTCGAGGTCGTTGGATGCCGTTGAAATCTTGCATCCCTGGAAAACAGTTGTGTACAGTGAACTTCATAAAAACAAATGCAGAACATTTTTCTCCTAATCTTTTTTTCTTATTTTTAGATTACTTTTCATGAGATAGGTTCGAGGTTGACTTTGTTCGTATCTACTCGCTACTTCACTTTTCTAAAATGCTCGCGCCCGTTTAAAATCTTTGTTCGAAAAAGCAGCGGTTTATCTCCGTGGTTTATCCGGTGCGAAAGCTACAGACCTTGGTACTGTACAAGGTCTGTAGCGAAAACTCGGACCTAGTACATCCGGTTGTATACGGCTCAAAACTGTGTCTGATCCGAAACGCCCCAGTTCAAACCGGGTAAAATGAATGGCTATTCCAGTCAACAAGGTCGATGGATCGACAGGTTAATTATGGTAGTCAACGAATTCGATGGATGTAGCGTTTCACGTACAAAGAAGCAACGCCCTACCTCCAGCAACGGCGTACCACACTGCTTCATTGGTTATTCCACCGTCTCCGTGGAAATCGTCGCTGCCGCATGACTCCCCGGCTTCTATTCGAGGGTGGTTGGAAGCGTAAACGTGAGCCAATTGCCTGGGCGTTGTAACACGCCCGTTGTTCATTTTTTCTTCGTTAACAAAGACATACGTCTGCTGCTAAGGGAAATACGTTAATAACAGGTTAAGAGTTCAGGTATCCCCACCTCTTTCCACTTTAGCAAAGCAGACGCTGAAGAGAAGGTCGCCTCCTCTCCAGCGTCCGCTAAGCTAAAATGGAAAGAGGTGAGGACTCCTGAACTCTTAACCTGCTACCGACTGTAGTTGTATTGCATACACAACGTGACGCTGTTAGCGCAAACAGGACTTCGGTGCATTTTCACATTTTGCTTGGGCCATTTGCCGCTTATGTTATCATTTCGGATTTATACATTTCACAATAGTAGACATTGTGATGATAGCTCTCCAGTTCTGTGAGAAACACACACGCACACACGCATACCTAAACAACCGGATATTACTGTCGCGTGTGCGCAGTAACCAGGAGCGGATTTATGGGTCAGGCATGGCGGGGGGGAACTTCGGTTGACGTGGCGGAGTCTGCTGAGATATGACTTTACGGTTCAGGCACGTAGCCAGTATTTTGACTCGGGGAGAAGGGGGAAGAGGAGGCCCAGCAAATTACAAGATTTCGGGGAGGGCGGAAGCCCAAGCCTCATGCTCCACCCTCCCCTCCCCCCTAGCGACGTGCCTGTTACGGTTGAAATGTTGCCCAGATCTATTTTGTTGATCTAATATTGATCCCTATGCTGACGGTGCGTCAGCTTAGGGATGAACGGCTCCTAAGCTACAAGGCGACGGGCACATCGCCAGTGAGTTAAACATAATTTAAAACCTGAGAGGACAAGACAAACAGATCCCCAGTCTTGTACTTTCGTCAAGCAAGGTCAAACCGTAAGCTTCGACCATTGTGAACAACAAACGACCGGAATAAATAGCTAATTCAAAACGCCTTGCCAAAGCCCCAGAACGCTTCGTGCGTCCTCGAGGAAAGCGGGTGCCGCTGTTTTCGCTGTTTTCCTTTGGAAAGTTTATTCGGGAATAAGCCTACAAACAGATATCGCCCCCCCCCCCCCATTTGTTGGGAAAGCACACAATTTAAGAAGCTCGCGCCATTCCTCAACTGGCGAAGCTTCTGCTTAGATTTGTGAGTCGTGACTCCGTTTCGGCCATCTTGCAATCGCTTCAAGCAACAAGCACAACAAACGCCTCCTAGCAGCGCATAGTTGCTTCAGACTACCGCTAGAGCTCAAGTGGGCGCTGGAAGTGCCAGCGTGCCAGCAGCGTGCCACGCCCGCCGCGCTATCAAGGCGAACGTAGCGGCGTAGCCAGCGTAGCTTCCCCAGGGACAGAAAACCAAACAAATTAGTTGTTAGTTGTTTATACTGGAGGAGTTTAGTCTGTCAGAACATGGCGACATTGTAACCCACTGTAGATAAGCAATTTAGCCAGTGCGGTACGACTGCTAGCCTGGGGTCTTTAGCGTACGTGCACCACGCAGTAGTGATACACGACCACACGCCGGTACGATGCTCATCCCGATCTAAACGGGCAGGAGTGGGGATTGAACCCAGGATCCCTCGGTTCTGCAGCGCGAGCTTTCGTTCCACGTGCTCCGAGCTGGTGTGCGCCAGAGCCTTTTATACTGGGAGAGTTCGGCGGGTGGGAGGGGCTTACGGCCCGCTAGGTCTAGCGGACTCAGCGGGCGCCGCTTCCGCCATGATGTGCCTCCCGGCGAGTGGGTCCCATTTGACATGCGATGTATACGAGTGTATAGGTTTTGCCGTTTGCGCTTTTGTTGGCGTAAGGAGAAAGTCGAAAAATCAAGCATTTTGTTACGTTAATCATACGTTAATCATAAACTTACCTCGCACAATCGAGAACTCGGCTTGCAGTCAGCCCTTCTTGGTTTGGTTTCCCAGATCTTGTGCCTTGCGCGGTTTTCTTTTCCTTGCGGGAACCGGTACATCCTGTACCCCTTTTTCGCGTTGTTCGAGCACCCAACGGCACTGCAGCCCCCCATTTCTTTTTCATCTAACGTCTGGCAGAGCGCAGCGCAGAACGATCATTTTCATCGTCGTCTCTCGCTCCATGGACTCTAGCGAGCCGACTGCCGGCTCGAGTCAGTAGGGCAAACGGGTTTTATCAGCCGCCACCAGCCTTACACCAAACAAGGGTGAAGCTTGCAATTTAAGGTTATAATTATAATACAATTAAATGCAAAGGTGCAATCGAGCTAGACGGCAAGGCACATCATGGCGGATGCGCACAGTTGCCAGACTGTCTGATCAGTGCTGCCAGACTGGCGGCTGGATCAAAGAACCGCCGAACTCTCCCAGTATAAAAGGCTCTGGTGTGCGCTAGCCCACTCGGCCTCCGAACCCACCTAGAGCCACTGTATATGGCAGCGTAGCTGCCAGAGTAGCGACACGACGCAAAATTATCTAGATGAACTAGTGTTAGAGGCGCCGATGGAAATCTCCATTTTGGGCCTGCGAGGTTGCCATGGTAACCGTGCTGCTAGCGACTCCGGG